TGGAAAGAAGATGCCGGATGGTTATAACACCTCTAACTTGAACTATTCACATAAGCCATTGATGTTCAAAAAATCAGAAACTGGAAAAAAGAAATAGATATTGAGCTTAATTTTTATTTCCTACTGAAGTTTTACCAACATACAACAGTTGTGACAAAAAGGAGACCAGAAGAGTCCAGAATACTATCTTAGCCAGTCAACATTTTATCTCCTTGCCAAGAGGAGAGAATGAACAGCCAAAGGCAGCTCCATTTTAGAATACAAGTTCATTTGTAAAATGCTACAGAGTGGAATTTCTGAAGATATGAACAGTATCACTTTATAAATTATAATTCTGTAATGGAATTATAAAATATATATGTATATATAAGATATATAATAGAAATATAAAAGAGCAGAAAGCAGTGGAGACAAAAACAAGTCTGTGGACGTTTGACTTAAGATTCTACTAAGAATATTCACAAATGAAACTTGCTGGCAGGACGACAGTAAATAGAAGTTCAGCCATGCTCTTGCTTTCAAGCAGCATCTGTTATAAGCTGAGGTCTCTTCCCATATCTAGCTGGAAATTTCTCTTGAGACCAACTCTCTTGAGCTTGCTTAGCACTACTCTCCTGCTCCAAAGCAGTTTCGTGGGTGAGATGACTTATCTCCGTTTCATGGTGACAAACCAAGAGCCACATTTATAGCATGTACACCATACCTTAGCAATATACGTTTGCTGAATAGACAGCGAATAATTCTAGGAATTGGGGTTCCCATTTATTACTTTCAAAGTACCCATGTCTGTCTTGTGCAAATCAGGTACTAGGAAACAAGTGGAACCCTTTGGCCATCTCTAGCCGTACTCTAAAGTCTGGAGATCTACTCAAGAGGATTGAGTCAAGTTAGAGATTCAGTCCATGAACAAGCTTGATGACATCTTTGTTCTTTGTTTTGCTCTGAAGTCCCTTGTGAGCTAATGGCTACCTGTGTGATGGATTCCCTAGGTCTGGGAAATAGATAAGTGTTTCACAGGGTTAGCCAAGAACTGACCCCTATATGTATGAGAACAAGTTCTGAAAGTTCATAAGGTCAACCAAGGAGTAAACCAGATGCTAATCACCTCCACCACCCCTTTCCCCCTTTCTTTCCTCTCTTCTTCATTCCCTTAACCACTTAATGATGGTCAGAGATTACAAAGTGTAGATCTGGGAGAGGAGATAACTAGTAACACCTTGCTTCTCTACCCAGTCACTGCCCTAGAATTCTGGGAAATGAAACTGACGAAACATCCTTGACTTGTGACCTTTGCTATATAAAAAGTAGAGCTGGGAAGCTATCTCTCTTGCTCCATCCACATGAACTGGTCTTATACTGCAAGCAGTAGCTCAGACAGCTAGTGCAGGCCTACCCTGAGCTGCAGATAGGAAGACTTTCATTATCCCCAGAGGTCCTAGAATTCTGTAAAGAATAACCTTCCATAAATCTCGTTTTGATATGTAAGTTTTGTGCATGGGTTCTCTTCCTCTTCCTAAATGGTATAAATCACTGACTGAGAACTGTCTACTAAACAGTAGAAAATAAAATGAGTAGAAGAGATTAATCAACTCATCTTCTCATGTATGTCTACAGATGTGAACTAGTTAGATTTGCCAAACCAAGTACACACTGAAAGAATTTATAGTTGTGGTGAGACAATCTTAAAAGTTATCAAGGGATGATTTCACAAAATATTTCAGAGAAGGGAAGATGACTCTAAATAAATTCTAATTCTAGAAGAATTGTAATTCTAAATTACAATTTAAATTAAATCTAAATTCTAAATTCCAATTCTAAAAGAAGTGGAAAAAATCCCAGACAATGTACTTCCTGCCCCGCCCAAAAAAGGAACCCATCAGGTCAGCAATAAACCTACTTTCACATCTTTACAAAATCTTTGAGAATAATTTGCCAATACTTCAAAAAAATTGTAACAAAAATGTGAGAAAAGGACAGGCAGGCTTTTGTAAATTATTTTCTATAGCAGATAGCATTTTTATGGTTACAAAAATGAAAAGTGAGGAAAGTACAAAGCTCCACTTTGTACACTGATGATATCACCACCATTTTACACTTGGGAAAATGGAGGCAGATAAAGGTTAAGTGACTTGCCCAGACTAGCATAACTAGGCAGTGTCTGAGGCTGAACTTGAACTTGGGTCTTCCTGACTTCAAGTCCAGAGCCCTATCCTTTGTGCCACCTAGCTGCCTCATTATAGCTTTCATCCTTGACTGAGGGCATATTTGGAGTGATGGAGGCTAAGAGTTAAGAGTTACTAACACTCTTGGCTGAGGTAGGGCACAGCTGCCTGGGAGTTCACTGTAGATTTTGTTTATTCTGGAGAATTCCTCTCCTTCCTTAATCTCTCTGCTAAGGCTTGGCATCAGGCTCCTGAACATTACAAAACTAGTTCTGTGAGTGATTATAAAAAATAGATCAGCCCAGCAATCCATACTGGGAAGCTAAGTGGATGAAAAATGCCTGATATTCAGTCAGTGGCATGCATTTGGAAGACCAGTTTATTAACTTGGTACTTGAAATGAATGAATGAATGAAAAAGCATTTATTAAATGTAAAATCACCATAATTGATCTCCTTGTTTCCAGATCTTCCTCTCTGTAATCTAATTTCCACATATTTGCCAAATTGATGTTCCTGAAGCATAAATCTGACTGTCACTTTCCAGCTGAAGAAGTTTCAGAGACTCTCTATGACATATAAAATAAAAAATAAAATAAAAATTCCTTAGCGCGGCCTTCACACACTGCCAACATCTATGCTATATATCTGGGATAGGCACTGAAAGTAGACAAGGAGTTGATCCCATATTGAATATGACAACATGAATTGGATTAAATTTGGGAAATTTCCTAGTACTCATAATGGTCTCAAATGGTCCCTGATTTAGAAAAAACAAACATCTTTAACCAGAAACACACACACACACACGTCTGTGCGTGTGCACCATTGATGTGCTATAGATGTAAATATTAGATCACTCCAACCTCCAGAGAATCATTCTGGGTGACTTCAGGGGCAGTTGAGAGAAGCATTATGAGTGTAAGTAGACCGTACTATGTTTGTAAGAATCACCTACGTGGAAGAAGGCATGTAAAGGAGATCAGTAAATAAATGTATAACCAGAAAAGGAGAAGAGGAGATGGTGTGGATGCAGTGAGAGCAAAGGATTTGGATAGTTCAGAGGGATATGTTGGTATCTTCCAAATGTAAAAAGACCTAGAAGAAGCCCTTCATCCACAAGCATTTAGTATGCATCCTACTGTGTGTAAGAGTTTAGATACAAAGACACAAACAATACCTTCCTTGCCTTCAGAATTTACATTCTGCTAAAAGAATACAACATATTCACAAATAAGATGTTTTGGTCTGGATATAATTTCTTTTTTTAAAAAATTAATTTATTTTGAATTATCAACAATCACTTCTATAAGCTTTTCAGTTTTAAATTTTTCTCCCCCTTCCTCCCCACCCCTGTCCCCAAGATGGTGAGCAATCTGATATAGGCTATACATATACATTCCTATTAAACATATTTTCACATTAGTGATGTTGTAAGTAAGAATTAGAACCAATAGGAAGAACTACCACAAAGAGGAAACAAAAAACAACAGAAGAAAAAAAAAAAGCAAATAGTATGCTTCCATCTGCATTCAAACTCCATAGTTCTTTCTTCTTTGTGGATAGCATTTCTGGATATAATTTCTTGATGAGTAGGGTAATTTTTTTATTGAATGAAACTGATTGGCATTTTTCTTTGAACCAAAAATCATTAAATAATCATACTTTTTGTAAAATATTATAATCATTAATTTTAGAATATTGATACAATATTAGTGTGTTATTTCTTCATGACTTCTTCCTAAACCAATTAGTTATTTATTGGGACTTCTTAATGTGTATTAAATGTTGAAACTGTCTTTTTTTTTATCAGAAGAGTTTCTCTTGCCTCACATGTCTTTCATGTCTCAATATTTCTTCGTGAAAGTTACATTGTTTTTCACGCTCCTCATTTGGATATTACTTTTGTTCACTTCCTTTGGCACAGGGAAATAGTAAAATGGAAGCAGATCAAACTAAACAGTATGAACACAAGGGAAATTTTATTGGGCAAGGAAAGAAGGGTTTGAGAATTAAGGACCTGTGATGCCCAGTAAATGTCTGGCAGTCGTCACAAACAGTTTCCTTCCCGTCCTGCTGAGAGATCCTGGAACAGGAAGCGCTCAACATCAAAAATGAAAGTCAAGTTTCCCAAGCAATGGGAAAAAACTCCTTTTAACATGGTGAAGCAGAATTGTGATTATCAACATAAATTATGCTAGCATTCTTTCAAGATGTTATTCTTTGAATTCAGATAAATAGACAAGTGTTTGAAACAGGAGTTTTTAACCTTTTTGTTATGGGTCACTTTGGCTGCCTGGAAGCCCTTTTCAAAAGTGTTTTTAAGTGTATAAAATATAATATATAGGATTATAAAGGATTATTTTGGAATTATATGGAAATAGTTTTCAAAATAATAACAATGAAAAATAAGCTCACAGAGCCCAGACTAGGAATCAGTGGTTTAAAGAAGTATTTTTCATTATTTATATAAGAGCATGAAAAAAAATCTCCCTTATGATTCTTTTTTCTTCTGCTAAAATCAGAATTTTCCATATAAATTTCTATTTCTATTTCACTATCTTTTATTATGTAGCAGACTAAGGCATCTTTTCTCTGAAAAGTTTTTATGATTATTAAATGTGATATGACTCCCATACTGACGGGTTAAGGTATAATTAATTGTCCTAGGTTTGTTTATTGTTGCTGATGCTTTTGTTTTCTGCTGGGGTGTTAGAGGATGGTAATTTACCCTACTTTTCATTAAATCATGTAAACATAATTTCTTACCTCTTTAGGCTATTCTTTGTTTGTGAACTATGATACTCCTGCCTAATGTGTTGCAATGTGTTTATTCCAGCTAAAGGATGGTGGTAAAGCATCTCAAGCCCATGTGAAAATAGGAGATGTGGTTCTCAGCATTGATGGGATAAGTGCTCACGGAATGACGCATCTTGAAGCCCAGAACAAGATTAAGGCTTGTACAGACACTTTGAACATGACTCTGCAAAGGTAAGTTACAGTTTCATTCTCAAGAAGATGAAAAAAAAACCCAGTTACTATTTCATTCTAAAGAGAAAAAAAACAAACAAACAGAGCAATTTGTGTTTGCATGTCTTTTTATGGTTGGTGTCTGTAGCGCTAAAAAGAACTGATAGTGTAGATTGTTAAAAATCCTAAGTTAAAATGATTATTTTTGTTAATAGGATTCTTTATCCCCCAGGGGAAATTTTGGGGACAAAAGGGAAGACTTAACTGTCTTTGCACATTTGAGGTGTCATTGGGGGATTTGTTTAAATAATAGATGATAATGGATTGTTTCTCACATTCTAAAATCGAAAGTTTGTGTTGGGTTTAAGCTCTTTTCCTTGGCTATGTATCATGTCTTCATACCTGCCTGTTTGTTTTCACATCATGCCCCTTGTTTTACTACTCAATATCTTATTTTCCAGTTAAAACACTTCTCTGGTTCCCATGAGAACAGATGAAAACCAGATGTTGCTCTTTTTGGATGAATTTCCCAACTTAAGTAATTTGGTACTGACGCTAATAAAGAATCCTTTAGGCTACTGAAACACTGAAAATTAGCAAACTCTTGTTTTCTGGACTTGAGGGAAATATTTAACCTTGTCCCCATGCTCCTGGCCTTTGATACTTAAAAGACTGAAAATGTAGAAGCTTTTAGCGTCCACAGCTATTTAATGTAATCAGAATTAATCACAATCCCTTTTTCTAAGCAATGTTAGGTTGGTACCAATATTAAACTCATTTAAGGGAATTTGAGGATAAAGAAATTCAAGGGAATTTGCTAATAGTAGTATTAACCAAGAAAGTTGAAGAATCATCTTATCAATCAATTTATCAACTGGCTATTATTAATATTATTATTCTCCTGATATATTCTAAGCACCGGGGCTGGGATATTATATGTAACATATTATATTTATTATTATTATTATTAAACTCCTGAAGTATTCCAAGCACTTGTGCTAGGATAAAAATACAAAAAATGAAGCAGTTCCTACCATTTATATTTTATCAAGAAACAACATGTATGTGTTGTTGTTCCATCATTTCAGTCATGTCTGACTCTTTGTGACCCCATTTGGGGTTTTCTTGGCAGAGATGCTGGAGTGGTTTGCCATTTCCTTCTCCAGCTCATTTTATAGATGAGGAACTAAGGTAAACAGGGTTAAGTGACTTGTCCAGGGTCACACAGCTAGTGTCTGCAGCCAGATTTGAACACAGAGAAATGAGTCTTCTTAACTCCAAGCCCAGCCAACGCTCTATCCACTGCACTACCTAGCTGCCCCAAGTACATGTACACACACAAATACAAAATAGAAAGTAAATACAAAGTAACCTCATGGATAGTATGGTTGGAAAAATCAGAAAAAGCCTCATGTAGGAGCTCTCTTTTTTTTGGCGGGGGGGGGCAGCTAGGCAATGCAGTTAAGTGACTTGCCCAGGGTCACACAGATAGTAAGTGTTATGTGTCTGAGGCCGGATTTGAACTCTGGTCCTCCTGAATCCAGGGACGGTGCTCTATCCACTGCACCACAGGAGTTCTCTTTGAGCAGGGATTTGAAGGGGTTCTGAAAGGATAGAAGTGAGGAAGAGGAAAGCATTCCTGGCAAAGGATATAACCTGTCCAAATTCAGAGATGGTAGACCAAATGTGGAATGTTGCTTGTAAGGAACAGCAAATAAGTTACTTTGGCTTAAGTGTAGAGTGCATGAAGGGAAATAATGCTTAAGAAGTCTGGATAGGTAGGTCTGAGCCAAACTGTGAAGGGCTTTAAATGCCAAAGAGAGGAAATTGTATTTGATCCTAGAAGTAATAAAAAGCCTTTGGAGCTTTTTCAATGGGGGAGTGATTTGGTCAGACTTGTGCTTTAGAAATGTCATTTTTTCAGCTGTGTGGAGGAGGGGTCAGAGAGACAGAGACTGGGTTCAGGGAGACCATCAGGGAAACTCTGGCAGTCAAAGATAATAAGATCTTGAACTAGAGAGAAGGGGATGGATGGACGGATGGATGGATAAATGGATGGATGCAAGAGAGTAAATCAACAAGACTTGGCAACTGATAAAATATATAGGGGAGAGGGAAGAGTTAGGATGGCTCTGAGGTCGTGAACCTCGTTTGGTGCTTACGAGAGAATGAGGAAGTTAGGGAAAGCAGTAGGTTTGGTGATAAAAATACTAAATTCTCTTTTTGATATGTTAAATTTGAGATGCCTACAGCAAATCTTGGTGATATAGGAGTAACGCTCAGAACAATTAGGGTCAGCAGAATAGATCTGGGAGGCATTTCTATAAAGATAAGAAGCCACAGGAGCTGATAAGTTCTAAGTTCTTTTTTTCCCCTTCAATGTATATTTTAGATATGAGCATTCCTCTCATTCCTCTCAACTTCAGTCTAGGCCCCCTTCATCTACGTTAGTACCTGGATGATAGCAGGTGGTCTTCTTGATTTCAGTACTTGCCCACTCAGAGTGGAATTTCCCATTTGTTTTTGGCCTCCTTTCGGGTATACATGCCCAATAGTGGTATCACCGGGTCAGACAGAAATCTACTCTGTTTTAGGCTTGAGCCAGCTGGAAACAATTCTCATCATTTAATATTAATCTAATCCAAACATTTCTGTATAAAGAGAAAGGAATGGCCAAAGATAGGCAGAATTACCCTATGGCTTTGAAAATCTCTCTGACAAACCAGTTTTGGTTACAATTTATGACATTCTTAAACAATAAATAAAATTGCTGAATGAGATAAAATAGAACTCCAGATAAAAGTTCAGTTAACATTTTGATTCATCAAACAACAACAGTCAATTAACTTTTGGCGCTTTCTTGGAGAATAATTTTAGTAAAAGCATTCAATCCCCTCTCTGACCATTCCCTTTAAGGATTCTCTCTTCTTTGTGTTCAGAGGTGAACTGGAGACTTTTCTATTAATTAAAGTAATCAGACTTCTTTTTCATAGTAGGATCATTATCCTAATCTGATCAAAGCTTAAGGAAATGGCATGGTGTCAGGTAGATCAATCCAGGGCTTCTTGTCTTTGGCCTCTATCACCATCTTAATTATTAATTACTTCTGGGAGAAGTTCTTGATCAGAAGCAAGGGGAGCTGGGAATTGTTTGAGGATTTATAACTAAAGACTGATAAGTTTTCTCCTTTAATTCTTACAAGTTTTTCTAAGTGTCCTTGAATTCTACATATTCATCATTTCTTATGGTAGAGTAATAATCCATTACATTCATATACCTCAATTTGTTCATTCTTTCCCCAGTTGATAGACACTCACTTTGTTTCCAGTTCTTCTGCTATCACATAGAATGGTGATTATAAATATTCTTGTACATATGGATTTTTCCCCTCTGTTTTTGATCTCCTTAAGGTTATACCCTTAGACTCAGTGATTATGTACAATGTAGTAATTCTTCTAGTACAATGACATATTATAAGACAACACTTTCATCATATTGTTTCCTTCTCATTGCTAAGTATATAAAGTCAAATTTCTTCTTGGCTTTTATCACCTCTCATAATCTAGTCCATGCAGGCTAGTCTTCTCTAACTTTACCCTCCTCCACTCTGGAGGAGTGAGGCTAACAACTTAACATAGCTCTCCCTCACTTAAGTCCAATCCACACGCAAGTCACGACATCACCTTCATGCAGTCGTTGGTCTTCGAGAAGGAAGAATGATCAACACCACCTTCCCCCTGCCATGTTTGTTCTTACCTCTATGGCTTCTTGAATGTTACTCGCTTTCACTTAGAATATTCTTGCTGTATTTCCCTGCTGATCCTAAGTCCACCCAACCCTAAAAGTGAAGAGGGAGATAACTGGAATGAGAGACTGTCCCTTTCTTCATCCATTGTAGAACAAGCATGATGATTCTGATGCTTCCCATTGCTAATAATAATACTTTGGAGGTGCCCCAAGCCACCAGAGCCTGCGGCTACTCCCACAATTCTTATTTCATGCCTGGACTCCCAGGGAGTATAATTTTGTGCAATTTATTTTGTTAATTCTTCTTTTTAAGTTCTTAAAAATCATAACTATATTTCTTTCTCTTTTTTTTCTTCCTTTTTAAATAGATAACTACCTCCACTTTAGGGTTAGCATTACAAAGTCTCAGCATCCAAATTAGAATTGTAAGGAGAAAATGTTGGGAGCCTTTAAATTAGAGTAAAAGATAATGTTTGATTAAAAAAGTCATTCTAGAACCATTACGCTTTTCTTAAAACTGTAACTTGCAAGAGATGTGAATCGCAAATATGCTGTTCTTCAGTAACATTTTCCCAAATAATGAAACTCTTGAATTACTATATCAGGGATGGGGAACTTGCGGCCTCGAGGCTACATGTGGTCCTTTAGGTCCTCAGGTGTGGCCTTTCGACTGAATCTAAACTTCACAGAACTTGAGGATTTGTTCTGTGAAGTTTAGATTCAATCAAAGAGCCGCACTTGAGGACCTAGAGGGCCACATATGGCTTTAAGGCCACAGGTTCCCCCACTCCTGTGCTATACTACTTCTTTGTAGGAAATTAAGAATAGATATTACTATTGTTGTGTTTGTTCCCTTCTTGGAAAGGAATGATGAACATTTTTTTCTTCCTTTTCAGCAGTTAGAATTGATTCTAAGGTTATATCCAACTGGACAGTGAGAAAAGTTTGTATTTTGGATTATTTTTCTAATTGGGGAAAATAATATGAAAGAGATGTAGAGTCACCAATCTGCCCAATAGTAGGATAAGAATTTTTTCATTCTAACTATATTCTGCCTATCACACTGACCTGGATGGAAATGAATCAGTTCCAAATGAATATCAAATTTCTACTCAGTTTCAGATCTCTTCTTCTAATAATACTTTCTATCTATTTGCATCTTGCCTATACCTCTCCATCCCTCCCTCTCTCAGTTAAAATGTTAGTTTATTCATCTCTAGGGCTGGTTTTTTGTTTGATTTGTTTTGTTTTGGTATCCCTAGGGCTTAGTACTG